CCTCACTTTCCCGTGGGGTCCTGCCAGCCCCGCCTCCCCCCAGCTGGGGCTCATCCTTTGGTCTTCATATCCCACAGGCTTCAGGCCTGGGTGTCACACCACTGCCCTCCTGGACCTCAGCTTGCTTTCCTAAGGGCTCGGTACCTGCTGGACCCCTCTGCTTCTCTCCAGCTGAAGTGGGTGCTTTGAGCGGGCAGGAACCGTTCCCACTCACCCTGGGTGCCTGGGTACTGCCTACCGTGTGTCTGGAGCATGTGGGTGCTCAGTCGTCATGACGCGGTGGAGGGATGGACTGATGGACAGAAGACCAGAGAGAAGACTAGAGGAAGGAGGGGTGGGCAGATGGAAGGGTGAACTGTGAGGGATAGATGGGATAGATCATGGGGGCGATGGACAGGTGGACAGGTGGATAGAATAACTGCAATCTTTCAGGAACACAGCAGGCAGGCTCTGAGAAAGCCCTGCTGGGAGTGGCACTCACCAAGGTCAAGGCTGACCGTGGACTCTACTGTGCACAGCCCTGTGGGTCCAGCTGTGCTCTGCCTCCCGAGTCCTGGGGACAGAAACGGTACACCCTGCTGGCCTTGGGGTCCCCCATCAACCACTTGGCCTCCAGGGGCAGGCAAGGAAGAGGTAGGCTTGAGGTGTGGGGTCCCAGGAAGAGGAGTCCCCGGGAACCCAGGGGCCTCCCGGCCCTCATCAGCTGCAGCAGGCCGGCCCCAGTGCACGGTGGGCTGCGGGCTTCCAGGCCCAAGGCCCAGGAGACTCCGGGATGGAGCCCTGCCCATGGCTCGGCAGCCCTCTGCCTGTGTGCTGCTTCCTGTGGCTCGGGCTCAGTGGAACCCTGTCCCCACCTGTCTCTCCCACGTTCACACCCCCATTGCTCGAGGCAGCTCTGACTCCACGGCGAAGGCCACGGTGACCCTGTCCGTGCACTGTCCCTCCCCCCACCAGACCACAAGCCACTGGGGACTGTGTGGGTTTTGCTCACTGCTTTGTCCCCTGTGCCTGGCCCAGTGCTGAGTCCCTGACAGGTGTCCAGAGGGACAGCTGACACCTGAGGAAGGGGAGCTGGCGGGTCTCTGTCCTTCACAGCGCCTCCTCCTGCAAAAGGACTAAGTGAAGGACCCGCCTTACACTGTCACTCAACACTTAACCCAGCTCCGCTGTGCAGGTATCAGCACCTACCACAGGCCCATCTCCAGCCGGTGTGGTGGTGCACGCCTGTGGCCCTGGCACTCGGGAAGCTGAAGCAGGAGGACTGCCTCAAATTTGAGGCCTGTTTGGGCTACATGTTGAGTTAAAGGCCAGCCCAAACTATGTAGGGAGACCCCTTCTCAAAAAAAAAAAGATAAAAACAAAATCCTCCCAGCAACACTACTCTGCAATGAGGAGACTGGGCAAAGTCAAGAGACCCAAGAGACCTATCCATCCCCCTGGTGCTCAGCCAGAAGCCAACTCAGGCAGCACCTCCAGCCGCCTCTGCTAAAAACCAACCCCTAACCACGGGTGCTGGCTCAGGGGGGTGATGCTGAAGGGTCTCAGAGGTGGTGACATTAGTGCTGCTGCCACACTGGGGTGCACTTTTCAGTTTCTTCCCAGTCCCCTCCTCCTGGGGAGACTTCAATTTGACTGAAGGGATGGAGGCCAGCCCTTTGGATAATCTCCCTTCCCATCATCCTTTGCTCCTTGCCAGAAGTTAGGGTAAGCACTGTCATGTGACCAGTTCTGGCCAATGAGAAGTGAGTAGCAGCTGCCAGACAAGTCATTTCCCATGCTTTCTCTGGTGCTTATCATGCCTGGAGGTGACACCTGAAACCCAAACAGCAATCTCTGCCCACCACCTTGTGGCTGTCCTGTTTGGAGTTTTTTGTTTGTTTTTGGTTTTTTATTTTTGAAACAGGTTTTCACTGTGCAGCTCAGGGGAACTCATTATGTAGCCTAAGCTGGCCTTGAATTCACTGAGATCCTCCTGCCTCAGCCTCCCAAGTGCTGCGATTATAGCAAGATCATTTTCCTCTTTTGCTGTCATGTGTTTGTGCACCCAAAAGCATGTGAACAAGTACAGAAGGGCTGTGTGGCAGAAAATGGGAGGAAGGGGCACCATAGGCTCTTACATTTCCAATCAACAGGAGCCCAGCACAGAGCATGAGGGAGGCCCCCACACACAATGTTCCCCACTCAGGGAGAAACAGAGGGGATGAAAGGAAAGTGCGAGGGGGCTCCTGGCTAAAGTGATCCTGTTCGCTCTATCCCAAGTTGAGCCCAGTGGAGAGCCACAGAGAAGACCCCTGAGGGTTTGGAGCATGTGAGGTGCAGAGGGGCCACTCTCCCTTTCCTGGGCAGGACCCTGGGGAAGGAATGTCCCCATAGTGTATTCAAGCAATGGGGAAGGCTCAGGTGGCTCTCCAGAGGACATAACATGTGCCAAAGGGACTTGGGAGTTCCAAGAGGCAAAGGAGCTGGGGGCTCTGTGGGTAAACAGGATGAAGCAGGTACAGAGTGACCCGGAGCCCCAGTAGACCAGACACTGCAGAGCCAGGCAGAGGATGCACGGCCGCGGGGTGCAGTGGGGCTCTGCCTGCCTCCAGGGAGGGGCATGAGAGCCAGGGCAGGAGTGTGCAGGGAGGAGCCCCAGCTGGACCAAAGCACATCTCTTCCACTTCAGCAGACGAAAGCACCTCATGGAAATGGATCAGCCAAAGAAGCAAGCAGGCTCTGTGTCTCACACACCCCGGCATGTGGCATCAGCCCATCACTGGCAGTCAGCCGGTGACAGCCAGCCACCCACCAGGACACGAGGGCTGATCTGCCCATCTCCCCCTGCTGCTGGCCTGAGAGGGTCACCCCCATGTGCCTGGACCGCCAAAGGCTCCTCCTCCACGCCTGCTGCCCAGGGCTGGGTGCCCAGCCTCCCTGCCAGCTTAGAGGCCAGCTGCCCCACAGCCAGGTCTGCACAGCCCTCTGAACTCTTGACTCGTGTCCTGGAAATCCCTCCTTCCTCTCTGGCTCCCAAGGCCTCGGCTGGCTCCAGCTCGCCCTGCTGGGCCCCACCCACAATGTGCTCTGCATCTGGGCCTGCTCCTGTGGAATCTCTGCCTCTTTCTCCCCATCCTCCAGATGCACACGTGGCAGCCTGTGGCTACCATGAGGGGCTGCCAGGCAGGGCTGCGCGGGAGGGGCAAGTCATAGCCCTTCTGCCCCTGGCCAAGGATCCTGCTTCCAGCTTCCCCGGCTCCAGGTCCCCAGAGTCATTCATCCAGCTGACTGAGGAGTGCCCACCAAGGGTCTGTGCCGCTCATGCACAGGATGGCTGTCACAGCCCATCCTTGACCAGAGCAAAATCAACTCCCGCGTAGACAGTGACAAGCCCAGATTACCCTCCGTGTGGTCACAAGGTGGAGCTTGAGCTGGGAGCAGAGGGAAGGGAAGGGGGTCCAGGTCAGAGCCCTGGAACTGGCTCCAGAGCCCGCCCCGGAACATGAGCACTGGTCACTGCTAACTCCCCAAGCTCCCGTCACAGGCGCTGTATAGTTTCTGGCACAATCAGGGCTAATTTTTCCTCCAATTCTCCCACTTTCCCCTGCTCCCTCAGTGGAGTCAGCGTCATCTTAGGGTAAGGGGGAAAGATCTTCAGTCTGATGCTATAGGTAGAGAGCAAAGTGGGGGTGGGCGAACCTTAATAAGTTAACTAGCATGCACCAACCAAACGAGGACCCCAGGCAGAGCCAGGACAGAGGCCACCTCCGGATCCCCAAGCCTCTGCCCTTCCCAGGTCACAGTGAAGTCTTATAGGGGTAACAGAGCCGACAGACAGACCCTCCGCCCGTGCTGCACCCCAGCTCGCTGCCCCCTCCTTCCCCTCCGCTGTCAAATCTCTCCCTGGCTTCCAAGGCCAGTGAGAACACGGCCCCTCCACACGCCCAGACCTCCACTGTCCGCCCAGTTTTTCTTTCCAGACATCCTGCGTCCTTCTGGACAACAGCCTGGCCCCTCCTGCCATGAGTCCTGCCCTGGCCCTAGGTGACCTGCCTCACGAAGGCTCACCAGCAGCATTCATAGGCAGCCAGGTCTGGCGTGCAGATGCCAAATGGGAAGACAGGGTGGGGCATGTGGTGCCAGTGTGCTCCCCCTCCCCCGACTAACACGACCTGGAAATGCCTGCCAGCCTCAGCTTTGGTTTGCAAGGGAGGAACCGGGGTCCTCCTGCAGGTGACCAGCCGGAAGCTTCAAAGCTTTGCTGCCTCCACAATCAGTCAAGCACCAGTCCCGGGGAATTCACAGGACAAGAGGCTCCTGGCTGGCCAGGGCCATCATCTCCACCAGGACCAGGGTCTGAGCTGAGGGCAAACACAGCCCAGCCACAGCACCTGTGAGATGGCTCCCCAGTGGCTCCAACAGTAGGGTCTCTGCAGAGACCACTGAGAAACGTCCAGGTGTACCGGGAACCTTCCTCCCCGGCCAACTGGACTCCAGCAACTGGAGCCCAGGTCTATGACCGCTGGGCTTGACTGAGGCCATTGCAGATAGAAGGTTCTCTATGGCACAATTCTTCTGCATAATTGTCAGAAAGCCACCAAACAGAAACGGCCATGAAGAGCAGAGCCAGAGGCCACATGCTGTCCCTGGGGGGCATCGAGGTGCATGAGTTCAAATGCATGTGTGTGTGTGGCCCCATGTGAGTCCAGAGAGCCACCCTGCCAAGAGACCCATGTGAACTGCAGTGCGGGTTCCCTGGCAATCCCGCCTTACCCTGTTGTCTACAGCCCCCTTTCACAGACCAGAAAATGGAGGCTCAGAGATGCCAGCTGTGCCTGGGTCACAGCAGTCTCCGAGCTGGTTCCACTAACCCCAGGGCCCAGTGGCCATGTGAGGGACTGGGAGGGGAAGGGGTCCTCTTTGCAGGGGGGAAACACACAGAGTGAACCCCAGGTCTGTCCCCAGCCCCAGCATACTCCCAGGGTGAGTCTGGGACACAAAGCAGACAGCAGCCACCTGAATCATGAGGGGACACAGCATCCTTTAATCACAGGGACGAGCAGGACAGAGTGTGGTCAGCAGAGCGGGGCCCGTAGCACCAGCCTTCGTGGCACGTGGCAGGCTGTTTCCATCACCCTGCCACGTGGCCCTGGCTGTGAGCACCAGAGAGTGGCCCAAGGCCACCTCTGCCCCAGAGTCTGCAAAAGCACCAATGGCCAGAGGCTGTGGCCCTCTCTGGACTGAGGACCAGGCCCCCGGGGAGACAGAGAAAGACTGGTGGCCACCAGGCCACACAGCCCAGGAAAGGAGGGCAGAGACCTCTCCCAGGACCTTGCTTACCAACGCAGCATAGGGGAGGCCTCCCAGTGACCTGAGCACGGCCCATGTCACCCCACAGACCTGCAGAGGATTCCCAGGCTACACCTCCTGTCCTGGACCACTGCCCACCGCATCTGTCAGGGCAGCACCACCACAAAGGCCACCGTGGCAGAAGCCGCCTGCCCAGCCTTAGCACCCTGAGACAGGCTGGCAAGTCGGGGCACTGGGCTGGTGAGAGGGGCCTGGGAGGCCAGAGAGCACCGGGGACAGGCGTCCTGTCTGACAGCACCGAGAACCCATGCCTGACAGACGCCTTTAGTGAGAGGCTGAGCAAGGCCCTGGCAAGCCCAGGGGTGGATGGATGGGAGAGGTGTGGCGGGGAAGCCCAGAGTCCCAGCGGGCCACAGTCAGCCCTGCGGGCCACTAGGAGTCTGGGCTCCATCCCGGGGCTGCTTTTGTCCCCACGTGCTCCCAAACTCCTGAGTTGTCTCCCACAGGACCCTGGGCCTGTCCCAGGCTCCTCTGGGGTGGCTTTCATGATGGGTGCTGAGCAGGAAGGTGGCATGTGGAGGGAGAAGCACCCCACTTGGGGACCCTGTGCACCAGGGGCATGGGAAAATGAAGCACCTGAGCGCCCAGAGCACGGGCCTGTCTGAGGAGAGCCCTGCATGTTCTCTGGGTCTGGATTCAAATTTGAGTATTCATTAGTGTCTGCCCCATCCCCACCCAGGCTGGGCTGGGTGCTCACCACGGGCAGTACAAGGTGCACTGTGTCTGATTTGCCTCTGCTTTCCTGGGACTAAGCATGGGCTCAGTGTTTGATGAATGAATAAAATGAATAGTCGCTGCAGGGATGGAGGTAAAAAGAGAAGTAAGAGAGGAAGGAAAAGGCAAAGAGAATAGGGAGGAGAGTCCTGCAGTGATGAGAGAATTTGAGGATGGCAGGAGAATCTTACAGTGACTAGATGATTCCAGAATATTTGGATAATAGCATTCTAGAATATCCAGGACATACTAGAATGTTCAAAAGATCATTGAATGTTCTAGACCATTCTAGAATGGTCTAGAATGTTCTGATGGGTCTAGAATATACTAGAATATTCTGAAAAATCTAGAATATTCAGCAAGTACCAGAATGAAGTACTGGAGTATGGTCCACAGACCCGTAATCTCAGCACCACTTAGGAACTTCTCAGAAATGCAGAATTCTGGGGCCCACTCCAGACCAGCTGGATCAAGATCTGCAATTTTCCAAGATCCTCAGGAGACAGAGGCACACATCAAGTGTGAGGGCTGGGCTGTGAGTCTAGGAAAGTTCTAGAGTGCAGAGGTTAGAAAGTTCCTGGGAATAAATGCCAGAGAGGCGAGAAGGGCAGAAGCCGACCGGGGACTTGGCGCTGGGCGGTCCCCACCTGCCAGGGGGCCAGGCCAGCCTGCGAGGCTCCTGAGTCCCCCGGGTGCCCAGCAGCGCTCAGTCATCCTCGGGCTTGATGAGGTGGCCGCTGAAGGTGATGTAGGTGTCCACATCGTCGCTGTACACGGCATTCTCACGCTCCCGCTTGAAGAGCCGCACCCAGACGCGGTCACCGGGCGCCAGGGCCAGCATCACGCTCTGGCTCTGCATGATGCTGCGGTCGCTGGGCTGCGCGTACAGGATGACGGCGGCCGCCCCGTTGTGCACCACGTGCACGTAGGTCTCCTTGAAGTTCCAGCTGTGCACGTTGAGGCTGAAGAAGTAGAGGCCGCGCAGGGGTGCCACGAACTGGCCGGCGGCCATGTCGAAGTGCCCGTCGGGGTTCACGAAGACGGTGTCGAAGAGCAGCGGCTGGAAGTCCTCGCTGCTGTGCAGGGCCGCCTTGCGGCCCACCGAGAAGGCCGAGGAGCGCGTGCGACACGGGCTGCCCGGGCTGCCCGCCTGGCCCTTGGCACCCTTGATGCCCTGCGGGCCCCGGTCCCCTCGGGAGCCCTCTTTGCCCAGCTTCCCTGGGGTGCCAGGCAGGCCTCGGTCTCCTTTGTCACCTGTGGGGACAGAAGGGAGAAGTCAGGGCAGACAGCTGAGCCAGTGCCAGGCACTCGGTTTTGGGGGGCTCTGTCCCCACCTGGGCACCTACTGTGCGCCAGCCATCACTTCCCCAAACATCCCTCTGAGTAGAAGCAATAAAGACAGGTCCAAAGGAGACAAAGTCGCAATTTTTAGATTGTACTACTAAGACAACTGCAGATTCTAGACTCAAAGGGTCCGATGCTTGCTTCACCTTAGACGTGTTCTCTCCCCTCGGGTTTCTCACCCCTAAGCTTCTAAGAGCCTTAAGGACGGGAAAGCTGTAAAATGGGTCCATGCTTTTCTTCCCATACTGTCAGCTCGGCCTTCTAACCTCAAGGAAAGAACATTATCAACCGGGCCTCCTGTTTCTAACCTTCAAACTCGGGCAAAGCTTTCCATTCTAACGCAGTCGCTAACAGGCGACCTAGGAGCCTAGGGCTGCACACTGCAGGTCGTCTCCACGACCATGTAAACCTCCCAGCCCCAGACCACAGCGCCTACCTCACCCCGAGCACCCACGTGCCTTCCTGGCAGCACTGCCAGGCCGTCCCCATCCATCCAGGGCGCTGGCAGCCCCTAACCGGGTCCCCAAGTCTCTAGGCAGGTGTTCCTGCTGGGTCTCGCTCGAGGCTGACCCTGAACACACTTCTGTGAGCCTGACGCGGAGCCTGGAGTCACACCTGTGGCACGTTGTGACAGGGTGGGGAGAGGAACAGCGAGGGGATGCAGGCCCTTGGAGGAGAAGGGGGCCAGAGGGGTCCCAGGCTCCATCGAGGTCAGTGCCCCCCAGCCTGTGCGTGGGAGAACGGCCTGACGTGTGCACCGCACTTCACAGTTCGCAGGACACCCACTCTGCCCCTGCTCAGAGGAGGGAGGAGGGTACAGAGCAGGGCAGAAGACCCGGGAAGAGGGGACCAGCCTGACCCATGGGTGAGGAGCCGGGGCTGGGGCCCACCCGGGGCCTCCTGTCACCACAAACTGGCCACGTCCAGCATGCAGTGGCGTGGGGCTTGGGGGCAGACAGCTAGGGAAGCAGTATTAGCACACAGGCGCCTCCAACCTCAGCGCAGCGCTGACCGACAAAGTGTGGGCGCATGAAGAGGGATGGCCGGAAGGGAGCTGTCCCCCAGGAAACGAGAATGGGGCGGGGAATCTCAGACCCCAGCCACAGTGGCCTTGTGGAACCTCAGGAACAAGTCCTGCTCTGTCCCTGATGTATGATTCAAGGAGAGTTCCTCCCCAGTGGGAGACTCAGTTTTCCCATCTGCAAAGTGGGAGGAGTGGCGACCTTATGGGGTCAGTGTGAGCAAAGACAGATGCCGAAGACCTCAGGCACTTGGCCACAGCTGTCACCGTCCCAGCCCCCTTCAAACAGCTGATATCACAGGGCAGGGGACCCCAGTGGGCTCTCCGCTGCTGCCCATCCCTGCCTCTGGCCCTGCTCTCCATTCTGCATGTGGCACTGGAAAGGTCCCTCTGAACCCTACGTAGGTCAGGCCCGTCTCAGCTCCAACTCTCCCTGGTCCCACCCGCAGAAGCCCGAGCCCTGATCCGATGGCAGCTGTGGCGAGAGCATGGGCCCCGTCCCTTCTCCCCCTGCTTCTTTAGCACCCCCGCCTGCCCCAGGGTTTTGGCACCTGCCATACCCCAGCCTGGAAGTCCCCCTCTCCCCACCGTAGGCCTCCACCCCCTCACGCACCCACCTTCCCATCCCCAGAGGACACCAACACTGGCGTCATCAGGCTAGGCGGCCTGCCTGTCCCAGGGCTCCTCCGGCCCCAGCCTGCCTCATGGGACTCACCCTTCAGGATGGTGATGTTAATGTAGGGCCTGACCTCGGGCACGATGTAGGGCAGGGCGGATGGAGGGGCCACCACCGAAGCATCAGCCGGGGCCAGTGCGTCCTCCGAGTCACCGTCCTCCGAGTCACAGCACCGTCGGCAGCCGCCGGGAAGGCTGGGGTCCACGACTTCCCCAGAGGTGGGCTCCTCTGCGGGGACCCCAGACACCACGAGAGGTAGCAGCAGCGCTGCCCAGAGGAGACGCGGGCTGGTCATCTCCATGGTGGCCTGGAACACGGAAGGGACCCAGCAAGTGCACTTCACTCCTGGTCTCCAGGAAATCCGCGCTTAGGACCCCTGCTTGGCTGGCAAGGGCCCTGAGGGTGCCCAGGGCCACAAAGAAGACAAGGGGCTCGGGAGGTTGGGCTGGGGTGGGTAGGGAGGTGCCAGGGCCATGAGGACAACTAAGGTGGCTGCACAGATGAGAACATGGGCCCCGGGCTGGCAGGGGGAGCTGGGCCACCTGGACATCAGTCCAGGGTCTGCAGTCTCGTTCTCGGGAGAGGGGACATGCAGAGCCTCCCTGCTCGGGCCAGGAGCACCCGCGTTCTGACAGAGGAGACAGGAGGGCTGGTCAGATCTAGCATCTGGGACACGTGCCACAAGAGGGGACCCTGTGGGGCGCGTGGGTGACAACAGGGTCAACACAGCCTTGAGATACTGGGGAAACGTACTGGTCACGAACCGCAGTCCACTCTAGCCCCGGCAGCACCTCTGCGGGAAGAGAAGGCGTTGCCTCGCTGGGCAGGCAAGAAACAAGTCCCCTCTGGAGGGTGTGCGGCTTGGCAAAGGCTGGTGTCAGCCTTTAGCACCTTTGTGTAGTCAACAACCTGCACAACCCAATGTTACCAACAAACCTGGCACCGAAGTCTGAGTGAAGTCACTGGAGGGGGACTGTGTCAACCACCACAGACCTCCCAATCGGCCACCGAGAGGTCATTTGGAATTAAGGGCAAGACAAGGAGGTGTGGAAAATTCAAAAGGATCAGGGAAGCCCAAGGGCCGGTGAGGATCTGCCTCTGACTGTTGGCCCCGAGGGATCTAAGTTCGGTGGCCTGGACTCCAGCGAAGGGGCAGACCGGGGTGGGTGAGGTGGGCAGGAAGCCCCGCAGGGAGCCTCTGAGATGGTGGCAGCCCCGGGGCTGTTGTCACCCAGTGATCACAGATCAGAAACTCGCTTCTGAAACCAGACTGGTTTTTACACTTCTAGAGTTTCTTTGTTTATTTCCTTTTTGTTCTCCTTTAACATTTAGTACAATTCAAAAATATTTTTTTGTGGTTAATACAGGTAGAGGGGGTGAGATGATTACCCTTTGAAATGTTCCCCCAGCCGGCTGAGTACCGGGAGGGGGGCGTCTCCCTCAGCCCGGGCGCTGGGTGCCAGAGGGCCCGGGGGATGGGCAGGCTGTCCCCAGAGCTGGCCTTCCCGGTGACCCTTCCCAAGTTCCTCCTGCCCGCCTCGGGGCCACTTCCGGTCCGCTGGTCACCCTCAAAGACTGGCACCCCCTGGGATTATGGCCAGCTCTGCTTTGTAAAGCACTGGTCCCCCCTCCTTTCCCCACGGCTGGGGGACGTGATCTCGGTGGGGGACAGGAGTGGGGATGGACGTCTGAGTCAGAACCCAGACACCAAAGTACACACGCTGTGATCTGAGGCTAGTGGCTTAACGCCTTGGTACTCACGAGATGCCCCGCACCACCTCTGTGCCCAGAGAGCTGGGAAGGTTACACGCAGGGAAAGTACCTACGTTGTCAAAAACACTACAGAGTCCGTTCCCTCCCCTGCTCCATGCCTGTGGGCCGGGGAAGGCACAGGAGCTCCCCCACCAGGCTGGCACCGTCTGGGGACATTTCCATTTCCTACAGGTCCCGTCTGATGGGAGCCACAAGCTGTGAGGGACAGCACAGAAGCAGGGGCAGGAAGCAGGAAGCCAGGCCGCCTCACCACGGGCAGTCATAGCTGGCTGGCCCGGGGAGGTGCCAGGCAGGGACCGGGTGTGGGGACCAGCCTATCCGGGGGTCACTGCTGCCTCTGTTGGGGAGCTGTGTCCTCCGTGGGGAGCAGGGTGACCCTTGTGATCCAGAGGCTGGTGCCCCTGCAGGGGTGGCCACAGCTGGGGCTGTGTAAGACAGCGTTCAGTCAGGGAAGCGGGGCTGGCGCTGTCCACAGAGAGCAGCCAGGCTGCCCAGGAAGAGGGAGGGGAGGGATCCCGGGCTCGGACCCCAGGCCCTCGGCCGGCCGAGCCCTGCAAGGGGCCTCCTGCCACTCACCCTGTGTCCTGCGGCCTCCCTGCACAGCGGCTCACGGACCCGGGGCCTCTGGGCAGCCGCTGGTTCCAGGGTCCATGCCCGTGAGGGTGACTTGTTGCTGCCTGGCTGATCCTCAGCCCAGCGAGCAGGAGGAGGAGGAGGAGGAGGAGGAGGAGGAGGAGGGGGCGGGAGCGCTGAGCTGGCTGCCCATTCCCTCCTCCTCACCCCCCCTTCCTCCCTCCCTGCGCCAGGCCGCTCTGGAGATTAAGGGCCCGGGATTTCCGCTGCTTAACTCTTTGAACGTCTGATGCATGGGGTTTGATTCAAAGCCTGGGAAGGCAGAGCAGAGAGGCGGCCGGGGGCCCTGTGTCTGGACTGGGAAACTGAGGCAGCCAGGGAAGAGGGCTAGAGTCCCCTAAGCTGCTGAGGAAAAGCAGATGGCGCTGGAGACTTCCCAGTCCGGGGACCCAGAGTGGCACTCTCTGCCGAGTGGCAGACGTGGTGTGGATGTGGGCAAGGACACCAGCGTCCACCCTCCTGCTCCAGGTTCAAATCCTGGCCCTGCCACCCCTAGCCAGGGGCCCGGCCAATCTCTGCCTTTCAGACCCCGAGGCCCTAGTTCACTGTCACCATCCACGTGCCATGCCTGTGGGACAGGCAGGAGCCCCCTCCAGTGCCAGGGAGGGACAGCAAGTGAACACCAGTCCTCCTCCTCAGCCCGGAACTCTGTCATCACTTTTATTCAGCCTCCTGATCCTCTACATCCAGGCCCCCAGGGAACTGACCCCCAACACACCCAGAGAGCAGCCTGTGGGCCCCTAGGTCTGGGCAGGGCCCCGCCTCAGTTTCCTTCTGGGGAGGCGGGGAGAAGCTGAGCACAGGCTGCAGTCCTGACTCTCCAGTCTGGCTTTCTGGAGCCAGGACCCTGTCCTCCAATGTCCCCTGCCCTCTGCCACCCGCCTGCGCAGAAGTCACTGCATACCCCCTTCCTAGGCCAAGTCTCATCTCTCAGGAGCCTCTGGTCCCCAAAAGTTGTTTGTACCCACTATCTCAGCCTCAGGAGAGGGAGCCAGGCTCAGGGGACAGCGGAGTAACTTGTCCAAGCTCACACTGGTGTAGAAAAGAACTGGGTGCAAACAGAAGTGCCCTCCAACCCACGGAGCCACAGCTTGGGCCAGGGAGGTCCAGGAGAACAGAGAACAGAGGGGGACAGATGTCACGTCTGGGGTTCTGCAGGCTGAACCCCAGTTCCCACTCACAACTGCACAGTAGAGAAGGAACAGCCCCTGGCTGTGTGTCCTTGACCATCCCTGTCCCTGGCCCCCAAATTTTCTATTTGTTTGGGGAACAAACAGACAGCTGTGCATCGGGCCTGGAAGGCTCCTAAGAGATGATTTAATCTGATTCCTCCATCTGACCCATAGAGACAGGACACCGGGGCCCAGCGAGGTCAAGACTTTGGCTCGAGGTCCCCACATAGCAGGCTGGAGCCCAAGCTGAGCCCAGACTCTGCTGATTTCTGGCCCTGCCCTACTCCCCCAATCCCGTACACAGTTGGAGCCGTCAAGTCTGCTCAGTCGTACAGGGGGAAACCCAGAGGAGAAAGTATAGGCCAGTAAGGGGCTGGGCCCTGGGAACCACTGTCCACGTCCTCTACATGGCCCTATCCAGGGCAGCATTCCCAGGGCGCAGTGCCAGGGCAGGGGAGCCACCCTCCTACATGCCCGAGGCCACCATGGGAAAAGGGCAGAGTCAGCACCACCAGGGGCGGGGACCGCGCTGGCTGTTTCTGAGCCCGCTGAGAGGCTGAGAGGCTGAGGAAAGAGAGTGGGGAAGACGGATGGATGGGGCCAGAGAACCAGCCAGGGAACCTGGCAGGCGTGTCCGGGGTCAGCTGCGTGGCCGGCAGTGCGCACCCCACGTGCACACTCAGCATGCTACGTACACAGAAGATGAAGCTGCCATCCAGAAGGACGTGACTTGCAGGTTTGAAGGGAGCTCTTTGGGCCCCCAGCCAGTCGATGGCCCAGAAAAGGGCCCTCTGTCCCAACCGCACCCGCTCCCCACATCCAGGCAGCTGGCGGAGGCACAGCAGGTACAAAAGCAGGGCACGGGATTATTACACTTACTTCCCGCCCACCCTGCCACCATCCCTGGAAACTGCTCCATGTGGGATCCATCGCGGTCTGTCCAGCCTGGATCTGAAATGTTCTCCTAAAGCTCAAGTGCTGAGGGCTTCACACCCACGGCAGCCGTGTTCAGAGGGGGTGCCCTGGGGAAGGAGGCTGCATCAGGAGGGCTCTGACCTCATCCACAGCTGTCTGGAAGATGATGGGAATTTAGGCGAGACCTAGGTGCATGCTCTTGGGGACTACATTTTGCTCCCAGCCCTATCCTCTCTGGTTCTCTTCTCTTTCTTGGCTTCCAGCTGCTGCGAGGGGAGCAGTCTGGTTCCCCCACATGCTTTCTGCCTTGTTCAGCCTCACCTCAGGCCTTCAGCCACAGGGCCAAGCAACCATGGACCAACCCCTCTGCAGCTGTGAGCCTCTGTTGATGTCCTCAGAAAGCTAGCAGCAAGCCCCCACCCTCCCACCCTCCCTCCAGGCTCTCCTCCACCAGCCTGGTGGGTTAGAGACAGCTCCAGCCCTGGGGCAGGAAAACCTGGGTCATGGCTCAGTGCCATCTCCATGTAGTTGTGTGACTTTGAGCAGGATTCCTTACCCCTCTGAGCTCTGGTGCCCCTGGGCCAGATGAACAGGAGGATGCCAGGACTGTGTGCTGGTGGACAGCCAATGGGGTGCTCCGTATTGACCCGCTCAGCGCGGCTCCCCCTCAGCCTTGGGTTCCAAGATGCCCTCTACCCTTCTGCCACGACCTCCATCAGCACAGCCAACACCCAGCTCGGCAGCCCGAGTCACATTACCAAGGCCAGGATCCCAGCCACACACACCATCCCTCCTCCTGAAGACGGTGACGCGAGGACCCAGGAGTCAGCTATGGAAAGTGGGACGGGCAGTCACAGATCCAATCTTTTAAGGTCAAGCACCAATTTTAAAACTAAACAAAGGGAAACGCGAGCGCCACCTGCCGGGAGAGCCCCACACTCTCAGCCTGTGCCAGGGGTAACCCCATCTCTAACCTTAACTTCACTGCACCCTCAGCCCCCGCCCCATTAGGGGGAGGGAGGGGGACGGACTCCCCCCACCCCTGTGCACTTGCCGCCTCTTCCACACCCCAGCGCTCTCCGCAAAGCGAGGAGCCCTATCCTCTAGTCGCGGGGCCCCAGGCCAGACTCCGGAGCTCCCTGCCGCCCCAGGAGGATCCCCTCTTCCTGACCCCAAGGGTGTGGGCAGCTCCGCAACCCTAAACCCCTGAAACCCAAAGCTACTAGGGAACGGCCTGGAGCTGCTCGTACGCGAGGGAGGTCTTTGAGGGTCCAGAACTCATGTAAATCGAGAGCAGAGGCGAGTATAGCCGAAAAGAGGCGAGTCTGGCCGAGAGAATCCGAGATTGGCCGAAGAGAGTCAAGTCTAGTCGAGCCCGGCCGAGCGGAGCTGGGGGACAGGCGCTAACGTCCCGCAGCGCCCCCTGCAGGACGCACAGCAGAAAAATAAGCAGTGGTCTCAGAGCTCTCCCCACACCAGCATCTCTCTGTCCATCCGGTCCCCATTTTCATAGTTGGTTTTTTTTTTTTAAACCATGGACCCTGAAGTGGGGCCGGGAAGAGCCTTCTTGGTCCCGGTCCCGGTGCTGTGACCCTGGCTAAGTCACAGGACCTTTCAGTCGCTGCTGTCAGAACCGGAAGGTCGCACACAGCTTCCTGTGGACAGACTCAGGCTGTGCCCTGGGATCCCCTTCTGCACCACAGAAGGGTCCCGGCGCTTGTCTGGTGGCTTCCACAGGCCAGTGGGCAGCGCTGGGCTGCTCTGTTTGCAAATATTAACTCATGCCGGTCTCCTGAGACCAGGAACGCTGGCTTTCACCCTCATCTCAGGGGAAGCAGAGACGCAGAGAGGTTAATTAAATGCTCAAACTCAAACAGAAAACGGATGAGCCAGGACTCAAATGTCTGCACCCACTTAAATACTGCAATGGAGGGAAGAGTGGATTCGGCAGGACTTCTGGGGATCCAGGTGGCGGGTGGCGAACGGTTTTCCTGTGCCTGAATAAAGTGACACGAGCTGGACACCTTACACAAAAAGATGTCTCACAGTCCTGGTCCTGGAAGCTGGAGGTCCAAGGTCAAAGTGTCACTGGCTCGCTTCCCTTAGAAGCTTCTAAGGAATCAGTTCCCTGTCAGTCCTGGTTCTAGCAGTTTGTGGACAATCTCTGACATTCCCTGACCTGGAAAACGTCACCCCGTTACCTCTATGCCTACATGGGCTTCTTGTGTAACTGTACCCAAACTATCCAAAGTCTTCTCTTCTACTTATTTTTTTGGTAATGATCAGACCTAGGGCCTCCCACATGCTAGACTATCGCCCAGTCCCTGAGCTATGTCCCCAGCCCTTTTGAGTTGGGTGTGGTGGTGCACATTCAGGCGGCTGAGGCAGGAAGATCACCGTGAGTTCCAGGCCAGCCAGGGCTACATGAACAAGTTTAAAGCCAGCCTGCACTACACAATGAGACCCTGTCTCAAAAACAACAACCAAAAATTATATTTTGAGACAGAACCTTGCCAAGTTGCTAAGGCTGCCCTTGAACCTGCAATCTTCCTGTCTGAGCTCCTGAGTAGCTGTACCCTCCCATTTCCCTAAGGACACTAAGTCATATTGGATTAAGGGTACAGGGTGGCCTCATCTACACCTGATTCTTATATTCTACTTCCAAATAAGTTCACATCCTGAGGTTTTGGGGCTTAGGATTTCAACATTCAAACTTGGAGGTACACTATCTAGTCCCTAACAGGACCGAAGTGCCTAGCTGGCTCTATCTGACACAGCTTCTGCCTCAAATGGGCCTCTCTTCTCCCTGTCTCCCCTGCGTACACTGTGTACCTCAACCTCAGGGCCTTAGCACATGCAGGTCCTTCTGCTGGGCACACTCAGGCTCAGACCTCTGTCCCCTGCACCTTTTACTTTGCTCTGCAGAGCACACTGCATTCCTCCCCACAGATTCCAAAGTAGTGTCACCTGCAGCGCTCGTGAGGGTGCAGAGGGAACCACCCGGCCTAGGGCGGGGGCCTGGCAGGCAGTGGCTGTTTCCAAGACCTTCATTAACCTGAGCTACAGCCAAATACATGAAATAAACGGCCAGAGGCCACACATGAGGTTTAGGGCTGCACGGGCCCAGGGTCCTGGCACCCCTGACTTTGTGTCCCTGGCTTTTTAAGGTACTTGCTTTCAACCTTGCAGTGGACGCCCTGAGATTCTCACGGGAGCTGGCAGTGTCAAGCAGTGGCCCAAGGTCTTGGCAGGACAGTGACTCCAAGAGGCTGCTCGTACGACAGTGTGGGGTTCTCACTGCCTCGGGAGTTTACTTCTGTGTCTGGAGTCTCGTGGTGGCCAGGCCATCATCTTCCTGTGGGACAGAGACCACTGTCGTGCCTTCTAGGTGAAGAGCTCTCGAAGATCTGGGGGCTTTGGTGTCCCCAGCCACAGGGCCCGTGACTCCCAGCTCCTCTCCATGTCGCTGATGCTGACGCACAGCGTCCTGGTCCAAGGCCTGGTGGTCATGGGCTGTTGCCTGGCAACCATGTCTGAGCAACAAGTTCAAGGTGAGGCCTCTTACTTTGAGTTGGAATCATTTCAATGACTGGAGAGGACTCAGGCACTGCCGCTCTCCCTGCTCAGCTCACCCCAGAGCCTTCCCTCACGGTGCAGCCCTAAGATGCCTGCACCCCCATATTCCAGCCCCTGTGCCAGAGCCAGGTCCTCCTAGGCCACTCCTCTAGCCCCCACACTTGTTTATTCAGGGCCAATATGCACGTGTGTGGGACAGGGATGCACGTGAGTATGTGCATGCAGGGCTTTGGGGACCCAGACAGCCACTCCCGTGTAACTTCCAAGCCCAGGAGTCCCTCTGCCCTCCCTCAACACGCGTGTCCCAGCCCATGTTCACAGCCGAGATGTCCTGAGTATGCAGTATGCTCCCAGCACTGTGCTCGTGCAAACCACACACATGCACGCACCTCTCACCAGCAGAAGCAGCTGTGCAGTGAGCCCATACACACTTTGACTTAACCCCACCCCACTGGCCCGGTCAGATTGTCCGTCATAGATCTTCACTTTCTCTCTGGCTGGAAAAATAGACATAGTGATCTACACCTACCAATCACAGCTCCCTATAATCACCTCTTTTATGATTGGCCCAAGGGACTTTCACGTGACTCAGTTAGAGCCAATCAGCTTTCTTCTATGAGATTTTTATAGTTGAATAATAGGAAGAAAAGTTATCTACTGCTTCTGGATGAGATTGTAAGGATGTGGCCCTGGCCTGTCAGGGTATCCTCTGAAGGACCTACTTTGGGAAGCCACGTAAGAAGAGGTCAGGATCCACAGAGCCCAAACACTTCACACATGCACAATTATCTGGACTCGGCATCCAGTCAAGGAAGTGGCCCAGGCCACAGCTGTTGTCACATGTCACCATCTTTATTGACAAGAGTTAGGGGCAGAAGCAGCAAAGGATTTCCTGACCAGCCTCCTGCTTCCCTTGCAAGACACTGCTCTCTGCCCAGGAGTCAAGAAGGCAGGGGTGGCTGGAGTGCCAGGGGCAACTTCTCCCTCCGACGCTCTGGTCCTTTCCAGGGGAGCTCTACACTCTGCCCAGGGCTGGGCCTCAGGCCTGCAGCCTCCACATCAGTGTGGGTTTGAGTCTTTCCTTCCCTTTCAGGAGGTCTGCTCTAGCCCCGAGCCGTGCCTCCTGGCCCTAGGCCTCCTCTACTGCCATCTCTCAAGGCCTGTAGTGGGCGCACTTTTGAAAGCTGGACCCAGAAAGACCACCTGACATAGGAGAGGGGTGTGGGCCAAGGCTGGGCATGGGGAGCGCACCTCCACCCTGTCATCTGCCCTAGCCCAGCCCACCCCTTTCAGTGACTGGCTGTTTCCCTAGAACAACAGCTCCTGTCCCCAAATTCCAGGAGGCAGGCAGGCTGAAGCATCCACCTCCATTCTATGATGGAGAAATGGAGGTCCAGAGAGGTCAGAGCTGGTCAAGGTCCTGAGGTGACTTGAAGACTCAGGTCTCCAAAATTCTGGTTCAGGTGCTTTCCCTGAGGGCCCCCTGCCCTCGGGGAGGTGGGAGTAGGGGGCTTGGCCAGAAGTACCAACTGCCCCAGGGCCATCTCCTTGTGGCTCTAAGGGGTCATCTCGGCAGGCAGGCCAGGCCCCCTTGGACAGTGCTTATGAGAGTATAGACACTGGGGTGATGGAGGGACCTACCCTCACAACACGTGAGGGGCTCATCTTCCCAATGTCCACTCCCTGGACCTCTGTCAAGGCCACACTGGCCTTAACAGCACAAAAGGGGCTGGCCGTGTACATTTGGGGACATTTGCTGACCTGTCACATCCTTTCCTAGAGAAAAGTTGGACAGGAGATCAGTCAACCCGGGTCCATGGATACAGCTATTGAGCTCAGCCCAGTAGGACCAAGGTCAACTCCAAGGTCATCAGAATCACCTGTCCTCTTCTCTGCCCCTTCCTTCTGCTTCCTCTTCCTCCTGCCTCTTCCCCTTCCTCTTCCTTTGTCCCCTCATTCTGCTCTTCAGACACTGCCAATCTCAGCCTTGGTCTCAGAGTGAGGACGAAGCAGGTTGCAGGAGAGGGACAGGGCTGGTCCCTCCTAAGAAGCCCCCTGGGACAGAGAGTCCTGGGGAGTCTAGTTGCCTTGGGGATCAGGTGGCTGAGCTCAATGGAGGCCCAACTAGGTTTATGCAATTTGGGGCCCTCTCTAAGAAAAAGAGTACAAAATCATGAGTACAAAATGAGTGTGGAACGCCAGGCATGGTGGTGCACACCTGTAATCTCAGCACTAGGGAGGGAGGCTGAGGCAGGAGGATTGGCATGAGTTCAAGGCCAGCCTGAGCTGCATAGTGAGGTTAAGGCCAGCCTGAATTACAGGGCGAGAGCCTGTCTCAACAAACAAAATGAGCACAAGGCCTCCAAAGGACCCGAGCAGAAGAGACACTGAAGCAAGACAATTCGCTGCCTGGAAAATCAGCCGCTTTTCCCCTTGTAGGATTTCCAGCATGGCTGGAGGAGCCCCCGACGCCCGGCGGGCACCAGAGTGGGCAGGGCAGCAGAGGAGGAGGTGTGCAGGAGTTGAGCCAGCCCGGACCTGAGGCGGCCCCAGAGGGCTGAGCTGGGCCTGAATCTCCCCCGTGTCCCGAGGAGCGCCAGGCTCCTGACCTGGGCACTGCTCCAGAAGTTCAGCCTGACAGCCCAGCACTGCAGGGCTCTCCTCTCACAGAGCCCCATACAGGCTGATTTCCCCCATCCCTGAGTCACAGAGAAGAAAACAAGGCCCAGAGACAGTGAGTAACCTGCCAAGGTTCCACAGCAGTCCTGGTCATCACAAGATCAGAGTCCAGGCTCTGAGCATCCTGTGTGGCCAGGTCTATAGCCTCTGCCCTCTGGGGGCACCAGCTCTTTCCCTGCTGCCTATCGGCCCTGCACGTGGAGAGGGCCGGACTTCGGCCCGGCAGAGGACTCCTGGGGGAGGGGCTGCCCACCTTTGCCTGCCGTGGCACTGGGCGAGCGCTCCTGCCCACTGGTGCCCGGCTGCGCGATCTTGCTGACCACGCCGCCATTGAGCTCCTTCCATTTCCTCTCTTTCCTCTCCTGCTCCTCCCCACCCTCCTCTCCCTCCTCGTCCTCATCCTCCTCCTCTGTCTTCTCCAGCGGGCCGGTGGGGGGCTCCTGGCTGCGCACCCGGCGGGACGGCCGCAGCAGGACCCTGCGGAATCCCTGCTTGAAGCGGTAGGAGAGGAAGCCATAGAGTATAGGGTTGGCACAGCTGTTGGCATAGGGCAGTGCCACCACCAGGAAGTAGAGGCCAAAGAAGGCGGGCTCCTCAGGCAGCGGGCACACCACATTGACAATGTTGAGCACGTAGAAGGGCATCCAGCAGAGGACAAACAGTGCCACCACCGCCACCACCATGCGTGTGACCCTGCGCTCGGAGCGCCGGCGCCGCTGGCCCGAGGGCGCCTGCACCCACTGGCACGAGGGCGCCCACACCCGACGCCCTGCCGAGCGCACCTTCACCACGATGAGCAGGTAGCAGAGGCAGATGACCAGCAGCGGCCCAAAGAAGCCCAGCGCAGCCGTGTAGATGATGAAAGCGGCTCGCCAGGCGGCTGCCGGCTCAGGCCACTGCATGTGGCAAGTGCTCATGCCCCGGGGCACACCCGAGAAGACCACCACAGGCAGCACCACCACGGCCGAGGCCACCCAGACAGCCGCGCTGACCATGCGGGCCACCGGGGCTGTGCGCCAGCGGGCCGAGCGCGTGGGGTGCACCACGGCCAGGTAGCGGTCCACGCTCATGACCGTGAGGCAGAAGATGCTGGTGAACTGGTTGATGCCGTCCACAGCCATCACCAGGCGACACATGAGGGAGCCGAAGGGCCAGTAGGACAGAGCATTCTGGGCGGCCAGGAAGGGCAGCCCCAGCATGAAGAGCTCATCCGCCAGAGCAAGGTTGAGGATGTACACGCTGGTGACCGACGGGCTGGCTGTGTGCCGCAGGACCACGTAGATGACCAGTGAGTTCCCCAGAAGCCCCACCACGCACACCACCAGGTAGACAAGAGGGATCAGGATACCGCTGATGGCCAGCCCTGCCGGGCCCGGGGCCACAGAGCTGTTTCCAAGGGTGGTGTCCAGCGGCCAGGCCGAGGAGGCATTCCCAGGGTCCACGGTCGTGGGCACCGGTGAAGCATAGCCAGGAGTGTCCATGGCCCAGGGCAGCAGGTCAGCAGTCAACTACGGCCTGGGGGGAGGAGGACACAGCTGAGTCACAGCAGAGGACGGTGGTCTCAGCCCCTCGCCTGCTGCACTGAGGTTGGAGACTGACCACCTGCCAGTTTACGGTGCCACACAGCCCAGCAAGATTAGGGGGGCTGTGCTGCTTATCGGGTGAGAAGTCTCAAGGAAGTGAGGTGCCCCCCACCAAGGTCACATTACTGGGGTGTGACACAGGACAGGAAGTTCTGCGGCTTCATAAAGTAATTCATGCCCTTTCCAGCAATGGCGCCTAGCTGGCAGGGCCACAGGAAGTGGACTGCACTGCCCACTCCAGTACCCTCAGCCCTGGGAAGCCTATCCTCAAGCTGAATTGGGGTCACACAACAGGAACCTCGGAGGACCCATGAGCTCCCAAATTTCAGATGAAAACATGTCTGTGAGCCAGGTGTGAGGGTGCATGCCTGAACTCCCAGCACTCTGGGAGGCTGAGACGGGAGGATTGCAACCTGGAGCCCAGCCTGGGCTTAGTGAGATTCTGTTTTAAAATTTAAAAAAAGGAGTGAAAGTGTAGCTGGGAGCAAAGGCCCTGGGTTCAATCCCAAAACAAAACAAAACAAAACAAAGCTGCCTGGGTCTTTTGTGGCAGAGTCCAGAGCTTCCACCAGATGCCTGATTCCAAATGAGCAAAGCACCCACAGGGCCACGGGAGAAGTGCCCTCAGTAATTCCCTCTGCCCCGCTGTCCCACTGGCCCCACCTAGGCCTGCCCAGAGGCAGCTGTGCCCTGTGGGAGGGTGCGGAGGTCCCCCACGCCCTCACAGCCCAGCTGGGGAGGGGACGTCTGTGAACACATGCTGGGTGCTGCCGCAGGATGGCCAGGTCCCCCCCCCCCACCCTGCTGCACACACGAGGAGCCGATGTCCCAGCGGGGCCTACTGGGGCAGCAGCATCATGCCCACCGGCACCACAGGCCCACCAGCAGTTCCTCGTGCCCTCACCAGCCCTCTCCATCACAGCTCCTGGGTGTCAAAGCCGGGTGGCCTTCCTGGGTTCCCTGCTGGACTCTGTGCCCCTTAAGTGTGGAGATGCATCCAATCCCGGTCCCTCTTCCCTTCCTTCCACCCCCTTAGCCAAGCATGGCTCCGTCCGCATGCGAGCACAAGACCTGGGGCCGAAGGAGTGGGAGTGGACGGTCCTCAGCACAGAGCTGGGGGGGAATGGAATGGAGGCCAGGCGGGACTCGCCGGACTTCTTAGTGGGACTTCCAGCTCCTGGAGGCCAGGCTGGGAGCACCTACCTCCTAAGGACCTGTCCTCCTGCCCCTTGACCCCTGGCTGCCTCCGGTGTTCCCTGCAGAAACTGTGATGGGAACACACATTCACCTTGGCCTGAGTTTGGAAGCGCAGGGATCCTCAGCAGACTCAGGGAAAGGGAAGATGGAGAACTTCATGGCCTGCAATTCCTCCCAAGACCTGTAGTAGGCGCTGCCCCAGGCAGGAGAACCTCTGCCAGGCAAAGCTCCCAGCAGGCACTGGGAGCCAACTGGGCGGTGCTGAGGATGGCAGAGGACCCCGGCTTTCACAGCTGAGTTTGGAGCAGCCTCCCTTCCAGGGTGGGAGACCGGCGGAATTCTGAGCCTGGGGACGCTTAGGCCCAGCCTGTCCCCGCCCCTCACCCTCACTCTCCAGTCCTGGCACTGGGAGATGGGAGGGTGGGCTCTAGGGTCAGTGCTGCCAGCTGCATACCACTGAGCCTGACTGTGCCAGGTTACTGGGGAAACTGGTGCCCCTGAGAGAGACACCTCTATTGTCCTCAGTGACAGAGGAGGACAGAGATAAAGCCAGTCATGCACAGATGGCCACAGCTGGAAAGTGCTTCCACACCACTTCCACCTCCATTTCACACGCTGGTAGACTGAGGCAGGCCAGGAGCGGGGAGGACTGGTAGACAGGGCCACAGCCAACCAGCTCAGTACTGTCCTGGCTGCTACTCACCCTCAAGACCATGGGCCCAGAGCCGTAGACTGCAGGGGACCTATAAATAGCCTTTTAAATTCTTAGAACAGTCATAGAATCTCAGTCATAGATTCTTAGGCTCCCTGTCCTTGACGCAGGATGTTAAAATTCCAGTACAGGAATCAGTGCCTGCTTGGCCCAGAACCGTAGAGTCCAGGGCCTTTAATGCCCAGCTTCCTGGGCTTAGCTGGAGGGGGTGGGGGTGGGGTGAACATCACCCGTCCACCTTGCACTCTGTTCTGCACAAAACCTCTTCAGCAACCCTGCTGGGCAGCCAATCACAGCCCAGGGCTGCAGAGGGAGGGCAGCACCAGGCTGGAGAGGAGCAGAGAGCCCGGCAAACCTAATTTCCAGGCTGGAGGACAGAAGCCCTCAGGGAAGCCCCCTCCTCCTGCTGCCAGGCAAAGGTGTGTGCAGCCTCACGTGCCGACACACACACGCCTGGGCAGGAGCACCTCGTGCCCAGCCAGACCCCCCCCATACCCGCGGATCAACTAGTCCCTTGTGGAACATAGGGCATCTAGCCTGGACTCTAGCCACAACCCGTCCCTGCCCATCCTCTCTGTCAAAGTTTAACAGCCCTGGGGCTGGCGAGCGGGAGGAACAGGGAAATTACAGCTTTCCACAAGGGTAAGGCAGACCTGCAATTGAGGAGCCGGCTTTTCTGGAAGCAGCTGGAATCCTGTACGTGATCTGGTTCATCTTTGGGAAGGAGGGACTTTTCCTCTCTGTCTGGTTTATCTTTGGCACAGCTTGCCTGAAAGCTGGGGGCGGATTCCTCCGAGGACCATTCTGTTCAGGAGGGGGAAGAAGCACAGAGAGGGTGAGTGGCTGCCCTGAGCCCCACAGCAATTAAGGTCTGCCCCCGGGGACACCAGACTCCCAGCTGTGCTCCTTGGCCTGCCTCTAGCCAGTCAGGTCGGCTGGGCCAGCCGCTACCCCTGGAGCTCTCAGCACCTAGCGTAACTCCCACAACTTGGTAATGATTGGCAGGCCACACGCTGCATTCTGGAGAGTGCCGAGGGTCGCCCTCCCTGGGAGGAGGGCTCAGAATCCCAGATCAGAGAGCTCAGGAAACTTGCGTAAGGTCACCCATCTGGCGAGTGGGAGGGGAGAATTTAAACTGGGTTCTGTCTGCTCTTAGAGTATCAATATCTCCCCGCCACGCAGCTTCAGGCTTGGAGGAGTCAGGGCCTGGGACAGCCTTGGCCAGGGCAAGTGCATGGCCCTTGATTGTCCTCGGCATCCCCAGACCTTTCTCTGAAGAGGTCCCATTGTGCTGGTCAGTACTGCCGGCCCAGCTCCCACCCTAGGCCTGGGGCCTGAGCTCTGATTTCTACCCCGCAGGCTCTGGCTTGTGGTCCGAACTCTGCCACAGAGTGACAGTGCCAGGTTGCAGCGTGGCCTTGGACAAACCCCTTCTCTTCTCTGCACCTGGTTTCCCTCTACTTAAATGCATACGTGGGTGCTGTAATGCATCCCCGGGTGGCTGGAAAGACTGGATGGGATCGGGCCAGAAACCGTGTGCTGCATGGACAGCCAGGAGCACAGGGAGCCCAGGAGCACAGCCACCCGTGAACCCCAAGGCCACCACACCTTGAATCAGTTTCCTCCAGCTCCAATCCTCACTGCTCCGAGACCCCAGGATTCTAGAGTCCTATCCCAAACTCCAAGAGGAGTGCCCCCACCCTGAAGCCCACACGGAGGCCCCGGAAGACCTCCAACTTTGCACGCCAGGACTCTGCCAGCCCCAGCCCAGCCTCCCATGTCCATCCTGGGCAGAGGGGGAACCCTGGCACCCCCTACTCCAGGACCCCAGCCCAGCCTCCTTACCTGGCCATGAGGCGAGGGCTCCTCGCTGCCAGGCTGGTCACCATCCTGCTGCACCTTCCCTCCATCCAGTCCCCAGGTGCCCCCAGAGCACCTCTAACTGGCATCCCCACGTGGTGCCCACTTTAGACCGCCTGTGGGCACTAACCCCCTCCTAGGCTCTGGGCACCCACATCTGCCCACAGAGCTGCTCCCATCTGCTCTCTCCCGGTGCGTCATGCCCGTCCATGGGACACATCCTGGGGGCACAGGGACACGTGGGGGTCTGCAGGCTGGTGTGGGGGGTAGAGGAGGAGGTGAGAAAGAGCACACAGACGGGGACTGCAAGAAGCCGGGGAGATAAAGGAAAGGGGGGCCCCCAAGGTGCGGAGAGAAAGAGGGGAGAGAGTGGTGCAGACCCAGAATGGGGGGGAGTGGAGAGGGACGCGCGTGGCAGGCAGGAGAGGAGGAGGAAAGGCAGGCAGGGGAGAAGGGACAGGAGAGAGCTGCGGAGAGAGCCAGGGGCCGCGCGAGAAGGAGGACGAGGGGGTGGCAGGCAGAGTGACAGAGAAGGATTGTGCCACAGATGGTGACATGGAGAGCCAGCAGAGGAGGGAGCCGGTGGGGGCGGGGAGGGAGGAGCCAGGCGGAGAGCAGGTGCGGGGGGGGGGGGGGGGCTGCAGGTGAGGGGAGGAGCCCGCAGAGGGCGGGGCCGACCCCGTTACCGGGGAGACTTCAGCCACCCACGCTGGCCTTGGCTCTCCAGGGAGCAGAAAGGAGCGGGCACTGGGCCAGGCCAGCGGCAGGACACCCCAGGCCGCGGTGCCCCGTGTCCCCCGGGTAGCAGCTGTGGCCCAGGTGTGAGGCTGGGCGCTGCCAGGCAGAGGGTGAGCCCCAGGGAGGGAGTCTGCAGGGGCTGCAGGGCTGTGGGCTGAACTCAGGGTGGGGTCGCCGTCCTGCAGTGGGAGCCAGGAGAGCCCCCGGCAGAGCAACGCGCTGCAGGCCAGGGCGGGAAGTGAGTATTTTTAGACTCTGAGAGCAGAGAAGCAACCTCATAGCTATGTGCAGCAAGAAAACAAATCTCCACTATATTTAATTGACAAAATTAAAAATGTAATCTCTATAATGAGGACAATTTTTTACAATAGAAGTCTGCTAATGAGAAGCAGAGAGTCCTTTGGAGGAGGATAACGTTTGGCTTAACCGGAGGATAAAACTGACATTTCCTGTCGTCAGAGGGGGGCTGCCTGGGGAGATCTGTGCAAACCTTCCCCAGCTCGGGGGCCCTGCAGACAGCGGTGGCGGCCCGAGGCCACTGAGAGGCCCGTCCTGACCACCTCTGCACATCATGCGGCCCCTGCCTCCTGGGGACGGGAGGAAGAGTCCGCGAGCAGAGGGGAAGGGATTGAGTCTCCCCTGAGGACCTCTCCACACCGGGTCACCCCACAGGAGCAAGGCTGGACCTGCCTTTGTCACCAGGTCCCAGGGCACCAGGTCACCAGGCCTCCGGTGACCACAGGTCTGAGTTCATCCTGTAGGGGGGCTCTGCCTGTAGGGGCTCCAGGGACCGCGCTCTTAGGCTGCAAGTGGGGAGTCCCTGGCACCATCCCCTCCCCCAGCAGCCCTCCTGCAGCTTCTCAGTGCCCGCTACGGCCCACCCAGCTTCATGCCCAGCAGGCCCTGCTGCCCTTGCCCACCCAAGCCCGGCACACCCAGCCTCACTCGCCCCTTCACCCTTCATTCATCTTCCACATGCCCATTGGTGCCAGGCTGGTCCTAAGCCCGAGGGACAAGATGGTGGGCGAGACCAGCCCCTGGCTCCTGGCTCACTCTGGGGAGGACAGGCAATCAACAAACACACAAATAGGGCCAGGAGAGACCTGGGAAGAGGGGAGGAAGGAGAGAAGGAGGGAGCCACTCGGCGCCATGGAAGAGGACCTGAGAGAACACCAAGCACCTGCCGGGAGGTCTTGCCACTTCAGCCCGGAGGAGGGGGCGCTTCTCGGGGTGGGAGCAGAGGCCTTCTGGACCTGATTTATCTTTCTGCAAGGTTTGTGCTGGCTGCCCGGAAGGCCACATCTGGCCAAGGGCAGAGTCGGGGACACCAGTCGGGGAGCCAGTGAAGAGTGCTGGTCTCTTGTGCCTTTGCACAGGCTGTCGGCCCTCCCCGTACACAAGACAAGTCGCTGCCCCCTATCATCTTTGGAGGTCCTCCCCAGCCTCCCCTAAGTCACCCACCCGGCCCCGAGCCCACCTGTGAGCAGCCAGCTGAGGGGGCCTAGGCCTGTCCCCACACTGGGCTGTGTCCCTCGGCCTGGCACAGGCTGGCACATGCTGGTGTTTGCCTGTCCTGAATGAATAAAGAGGGGGGGGACTGGCAGCTGGGGGGCTGGAAAGGGGCTTCTGAGCCTGCCAGCGGCAAGCATGACCCACATCAGACGACGGCCTCCCTGGGGGCCCAGGAGAGCTGGGGAACCAGGCTCGTGGGGTGTCTGGGAGCTCGGTGGCCCTGCCCCGCTGGCACTGAAGTCCTGGAGGCCTGAGACAGGGGCCTGAGAAGCCCTGACTTCAGGGGACCTGTCAGAGCTTCTGGGGTCCTGGGGGCCGCCCAGCCTACCACCCCAGACAGGACAATGCTGCCTCCTGTCAGACTCCGGCTCTTCACAAACCAGGCCCCTGACCACACGCTTAGATGGTGCCTCCGCCATCAGACAGGCGGTTTTCTGGGAGCCCCAGACTCATCTCCTCCCTGCGAGCCAGGACGCAGTTCTCCCACCCACTCTCCACCTGCCACACCTCAGAGGACGGGGCTCGGCTGCCGAGATGGACATGTGTCATCTCAAATGAGCGATGACAAACAACCTCCTCGGCCCACCCCCTGGGCCATCTCACCGCAGTCCCCCACAGGGTGTCATCTGAGTCATCCCCCAGCTGTGGGTTCCCGTGGGTCTGAGGCTCAGCTTTCCTGGCTGTGTGATCTCAGATTTGTGACTTAACCTCTCTGAGCCTCAGTCCTTCCTCTTCCACACCTGCTGTGTAGGGTTGCCATGACGATGGAATGAATCAACCTGTTTACTGCAGTTCCCAGGGACACAGAGACACTGCAGGACCTGGCCACATCTCAGTTCCCTACGGAGGGAGGACAGGGCTGGGACGCTGGGCGCAGGGCTGTGAGTCCAGTGCCTGCCCACGGAAACCTCTTGGGACCTGGCTTTTCTTCTCCAGCGGACCCAGTAGCCTTGGCACCATACTGTGAGTCTCTAAGCTGACCGCACTCTCGAGCCTGTGCTGCCCGCGGGGCCTGGCACTAGAGGAGCTCAGGACCGGGCACTTCAGTGTACTGCTGCCTTTTAAACTAAAGTCACTTGAAAAGCAAGAAGGACACAGTGACCTTGCCCGGCTCCCGATGGCAGGCGCTGAGGCCTGTGGAAAGGGGTGGAGGCGGGGGCAGCTGACCGCAGCCTGCTCAAGGGCCTCTTCTCCTCCTGGGGGACACTGGCCGCACCCCCTTTCATACAGGCGTGTGGACACTGCCTCACTCCTGGGGGCTCCTGGGGGTGGGCTCCCGCATACAGCCCAGGGGGTGAGACTCCCGTTCTCCCCCTGTGCATCCGTCCCACTGCGGTTTAGTTCCTGGGCCCAGCCAGAGACTCAGAGGGTAGAGAGCAATAGCCATGCCTCTGCTCTGCCCTCCGCCATCTACCTACCTTGGGCCCTGCCTCTGCCCTTGGCAGGAAGTGGGGCTTTTAGACACGATGCCAGACTGCGCCAGACTCTCCTACGGTCACTTGCTGCTCATTGAATGAAACCCACCGCCCCCTAGGCCTGTGTGTGCACCCTTTAATCAGAACCTCCCGCGAGCCCCAGACCCTTTGCACAGGCTGCTCTCTGTCCCTCTCCTCACCTCCAGTGGCTGAGGGACATGACGTGCTCAGGGCAGTCGTCTGTGAAGCCTCCGCTCTCGGACACTCTGCCCATTCTTCCTCTGTAATGCAGTTTTTATTTTTGTATTTTACCAAGACACTGTTTGCAAATAAAATTTTAAAATTGTGCTAAAAGGTTTATAAAAGCCAAAAAATAATTAGCTATTCTCCTATGGCCATATCCCCCGCCCTTTTCCCAGAGGTAACCCCATCCTCGTAACTATTTCTCCAACTTGCTGAATGTCACGTTTCTTTTTCTCACCCCGATTCCTAATTTTACTCCTATCTATGGAGTCATCTGCTATGGTAGATGAGCCGTTTAGATTCCTTTTTGAGGCGGGATCTTACTGTGTAGTTCAGCCTGGCCTTGAACTCACTCTGTAGTCCAGGCCGGCCAGCAACTCTCCTGCGTCAGCCTCCCAAGTGCTGGGGTGATGCGCTGCACCACCACACCCGCCGGGGGCTGAGATCCCTTGTGCCCTCACCTCCCCTTCTCCACGCCCTTCCTCCCTCCTCAGCATGATCTATGTCACAAAATGTCAGTAATGCAACGTAAACACTACTTTCTGCTCAACCAACAGTTCCCGATTGTCTCCTTTGTCATTTGCTCAGTTTTTTCTAAGACGTCATGGTTTGCTTGGACCAGTATTTCCATCCGTGTCCAACAGCTCCATAAAAGCCTGAGAGTGCAGTTTCCAGATTCCAACCATGAATATTTTTCCTGGCGACTACCAAGCGCCTCTCCCCTGACCCGTGCTGCCCCTGACACCTCGCTATAGCTCGGGCCTGGAGCGCCCCCAAAGACCAAGCGTTGAAGGCTGAGCTGCCAACCGCGGCACCCCTGGGAGGTGCGGGGTGGTCACAGGAAGTGAGATCGGGGAGGCGCACCCCTGAGGGGTTAGCGGACCTCAGCCTTTCCTGTCTGCTTCTGTGCCTCTTGGCGGCCATGAAGAGAGCAGGTTTGCTCCACCACGCGCTCCTGCCATGATGTTCTGCCTGACCACAGACTCAAACCAACAGCGCGGTCAGTCGTGGACTGAGACTTTGAAATCCATGAGCCATCATGAATGTGCCGCAGTTAGGATCTGACGTATCCTCCAAGGCTTGGTACCCAGATGACGGTGCTATGGGGAAGCCAGGGGATGGAGGAAGTGGGTAAAGTGAGGAGAAGGGCTGTGCCTTTAGCGGGTGCGTTTGGGCCTCTCCCCCATCTGTCTGTCTCTGTCTGTGTCCTTCCCAGGTGCTATGAGTTGAGCAGGTTTTTCTTTGTCACACAGCCACACCATGATGCTCTGTCTCAGCACAGGTCCAGACACAATGAAGCCAACATGGATTGAACCCTTGCAACTGTGAGCTGAGATAAATCTTTCTTCCTTTAAATGGATTTTCTCACACTTTTGTCAGAGAAACAGAAAGTTAAGTAACAGAAAATTGGCACTAAGGAGTGAAGTTGTTGCTGTGGCTGTCCCTGACCGAGTGGTTCAAAAGTCTTTGAATCTGGTTGGTGGGAGGGATTTGGAAAAGCTGGGAGAGGCTGGCTAGTAAATAGCTGATGATTTTGTAAGTAGAGCTTAATGGGTGGTTCTGGTGGGAGCTCAGAATGCTGATAGGAATGTGGATAGCAAAGTCCAGGCTCAGATTTCCAGGAGGAAGGCGGGCTCTGTTGGTCTCGGATTAGTGGTGATACATACTATATTCTGAAAAAGAATTTGTTTGCCATGTGTCTGTGCCCTGAGACTTTATGTGAAGTTGAGGCTAAAGGTGACAGACTAATCAGGTAACAGGAAATTTCAAGGCAGCCCAGCATTTAGTTTGTGGCATGGGTATTGCTGACTAATTTTAGCAAGATTTGTAGTGAGAATCACGAACAAAACAAACCAGGAGATTAAAAGACTTGCAGTTTGGCCAGAGAAAGAGCATGTTTAAAGTTGTAGCCAAGGAAGGTTTGGTTGTTAAAAAGCTTGCTTTCATTAAAAGAAACCCATATACATTGTACCTAGACAATGCCTTGAAGGCATTTCAGGAATCAGCAAGACCCCATTCTTCACAGCCTCAAAGGCTGTAAAAGTATAAACCTTTCATTTGAGAAAAGAGCCCCTGGCTGCCTGCTCCCACTGGGCTGCACAGGAAGTCTGCCCAGGTCCTCCGTGTACATGCTGTGCAGAGGCCACAGTAGCCTTGGTCTAAGGGGCCCTGGCTGCTGTTTGAGTTGGCAGTAGATTCTGGCATCTTCCGCATGATGCTGGTTTTTCAGCCACACAGAATGCAATAGCCTCACAGAGGCTTCCACCTAGATCTCAAGGGAAGTCACGGAAGGCCAGGGAGTGTGTGGCAGGATCAGAGTCCCTGGAGGGGGCTCCGGGAGGGCGGTGCATGAAACCGTGAGTGGGGACCCCAGGAAGCTGTGGATGCCGGGACCATGGATCACGTGCTGAGGGGTTGGGGACCATAAATTATAAATTGAGTCTAGAGGACAGCTAGTGCTGCCCTGGTTCTGCCTCGTAGGCCAGCCTAGAATGCAAAAACTCTCCGCATCCTGCCAGCTAAGGATGACCCCTACGGCCAGTGCCGCTGCGGGACTCACGGGGCAGCTCTGAGGACGGCAAGCACTTTAAACTATGCAGCAGCAGCAGTAAAAGTTTTGCCGGGAAACCCAGCTTCCCTCTTGGCCCTGTTCCATGGCGAGAATCCTTTGCTCTTCTGCTAGGCAACCTCACGGTCCCTGGAATTAGCCACCGCGCTCCGTGAGGGTGGAGAGCTGCACAGTCTGGTCTCTGCCCCTCCGGAGGCACTGAACTCTTAGCCCCTTTTACCAATTACTGCATTTGCCTCTGTCTCTTATTCCATCTTTCCCTGTTCCCCTCGTACAGGCAGTTGGGGATCTCGGTCAGGTCCTTGGTGCTGAGGAAAATCCCCAGCAACAAGAACAGCCAGCCCGAGAAAGGACACAGCAGCAGGACACAGGGGCAGGGATGCCCAGTACCCCCAGAAGCCCCCAGAAGCTCCACCTCCGTGTGCTCTGGATACCAGACACAGAGCACAGGGATTACTGTGTGCCCGCTGGGTCTCAGTCTTGCTTTGGTCCGATCCGTCTGGTGTTTCCTACTCTTCCCTTCTGGAATAGGACCCTTTACTCATTGCCACCATATTTTGGACTTTTTTTTAAAGACAGGGGCTCTTAGCTAAGTTTACTGTGCACATCAGGAAGAGACTGGACTTCCGAGCGGGGCTAGAACTTATAAGATGTTGAGGACTCTTGGAGATGGACTGAATTCATTTTGCAGTGTGAGGGGAACATGACCAGCCTTTGGGACAAAGATGGAATGTCTTAGCTGCATCTGGCTGGGATCCAAGCCCTGCTGGGAAGCCTTAGGAGGCGGCGCCTCCTTGGAAGGAGAGGGTCAGGAGGGCGGGCTTTGAAGGACACGTTTTGTCCCTGGACTCTTCTGTTTCTCTTGGCTCCCTGGCCACCTAGGGGAGACTACACGCTCCCTGCTATGACCCTCTCCTTGGGTAGCCTTGAAACCAGCGCAGCCAGCAGACCGTGACTGAAACCATGACCCAGAACAAAGCTTTCATCCAGGAAGGTGACTTGCTCAGTTATTTTGTCAAAGCAACCGAACGATAACACATAGCCGATGGCTTGGGATTTCCTGTTACATACCAGGATTCCCTCCAGTTTTTTCCAGCAGGTTGTCGGAGTCTACACTTTCATTTTTGATGGAAAGGATTTTATAGGCTCATTCTTACGAAACATAGCCTGCAACAACTTCCCATGAAAACGGTTCAAAAGTACATTTGAAAATAGTTAGCTGTCCCCTTACACTCACGGATAGTCTGGCCAGGTGTACAATTTGAGGCTGAGCCAGACATGGTAGCGAAAGACTTAATCCCAGCACTCTGGGAGGCTGAGGCAGGAGGACTGCAAGTTCGAGGCCAGCCTGAGAAACTTAGCAACTTAGTGACAACCTGTCTCAAAATAAAAAAAGAGTTAAGGATATAATTCCGTGCAAAGGCCCTGGGTTGATCCGTGGGGTGGGAGGAGAAGGAGAAAAAAAGAGGAGGAGGAGGTAGGGGAGGAGAAAAAGGAAAAGAATGTCAAGGCTGAGAATCACTTTGGCTCAGCAGATGGAGGGCATCTGTCCCTGTCTCTGGTTACCAGAACAACTTTAGCAATAACTTTAGGTAACATTTTTTTTTATTCTAGAAGCTTCTAGAATTTTCTCTTTAACTATGAATTTCTGAAATTGCATAACAAGGTGCTTTGGAACTTTCCCCCCTTCATTGTTTTGGACTGTTTTAACCTGAAGATTCATGGTCTTCAGTTTTAGGGACTGATTTTTATTATTATTTCCTTCTGATCTACTATTTGAGTATTTAGTCTCATAGATTAACCCTTTCACTTTCTTTTTGAGAGGGAGAGTGTGAGTAACCAGGAATCAAACTCAGGACCTCACACTTGCCAGGCAGGAGCACCAGTGGACTAAATCCCCGACCATCTTTACCTTGCTTGTTCCTCTTTACCATTCTGTTCTATCTCCTGTTAGTTTTTTGTTCACTGCTTTTATCTTCCAACCCCCTTAACCAGCATATTTTTAATTTCCCATGACTCTTTCCAAATCCTGGCTGCTGGCATCTTGGGCTTATTTGTAAATAGACTGCTCCTCCTTTTCTTTCCAAAGACAGCAAAGAGAATTTCTTCAAAAGTCTCTTCTGTTTGGTGCATTATCTCTATTTCTTGCTGACCACTCTTCCTCTCTGGACTTGATCTGAGCCCTTCATGGGAGCGATGTCTCAGGCTGGCCCTTCTTTGCTATGCCTTCCTGTATCAGAACGAGGCATCAGAGCCCCAGCTAGAGCTCAGGCTCACAGTGGTGAGCATCTCTGTAAGACAGCTGGCTCTTTTGTCAAGGACACCTAGAAGTCAGTGTCTGAAGCCTTCCTCTGGAATGACCAGGTGCCCCGGTTTCCTTTCTGGAGTGAGTGTATGCCTGCCACTAACACTCCTGGCCTGTCCAGAACTCAGACTTTCACTGATCCCTCTGTAGCAGTCAGATCCTGTGCGTAACAAACCACCACACAATCTCCATGGTAACAGCAGCATACATCTATCGGTGCTGTTCAGCCAGCTGGAGGACCCAGATGGGTCTCACTGAGCAGACTGAGTCGGGCTCAGCTGGACGCCTTTCCCCACTGCTGTTTCTCTCATCCTTTCCACCAGCAGCTCCACCCACAGCACGTTCTTTTTCTACTGCACAAGAAAGCGGGCCCAAGGTCACAGGCACCCTTGGGTGTCTCCTCTGAAGCTTGCACTGAGGTCCCTGTGGCCCAGCGAGTCCCGTGGCTGGGTCTCGGGGCAGTGGGGGCTGAGGCAGTGTTTATTTGCTGAGTGGAACGGAATCTAGCCAGGCACAGGGTCAGTCTGGTGCGCTGCCTGACCTTGCCCTGGAGCTGGTGCCTCGTCCCCAGCTCTGTTTGAATTTCCCCTGCAGCTCAGAGGCAGGGGACTCCTTGGCTGCCCTGTGCAGGGGTGGGGCCCAGGGGAACCTAAGCGCTCCTTAGACTCCCCAGCTA